TATTGAGTGAGTTTCAGGAAGCCAAGGCTGTCTCAAAAGATAAAAAGAAAAAAAAAAAGAAAGTAAGAAAGAAATTACTGCATGAAGAAAGATATTTTATCATGTTCCTGTATTTATTAAAAGAAATACAAAGACCCCACACATGAATAAGAATTTCAGCAAGTGATATCCAGATCCCTAGAGGCAGGGTCATATGTACTTGCAGGAACTTCAAGGGTCCAAGCTAAACTAAGGGAGGAATAGGATCACGCAAGCCTTGTCATCAGCCCTGGGTTATTATTCTCAATGTTTAACCTTTGAGACTGACCAAACCATTTTAAAGCTTCAGAGTCCTATGGCTAGACCAGCATGGGGGCATCCTAATGTTCTTTCATTCAACACCAGAGTGGTGCTTGTCACATTGTAGTCTTCAGTTTGTTGAATAAACTAATGGCTTTAGGTAACACTATTATCTACCCCACAGGAGGTTAAAAAAAAAAAAAGACTCATCGGGAAAAACATGAAAAACTTAAGTATATGAGTATACTACCTCACAAACAGTTAATACTTGGTATTTTCTATTGGTATTTATTTTTAGGTGTGAAAGTCTCATGTTTAATTGCACTGTTATCTAAAGCAACAGGGTGGGGTTATCAGTGAGTGATATGCTGTTTGTGTCTGACCAATATAAACTTTAAAATCTCATGTATATGCCAGTATATGCCTTCACACAATGCAACAGGAAGCTGCTGTCTGATGGGCAATAACTTGATGAAGGAGGCAGAGGAAATGGAAGTCATGTCCCTTCTGTTTGTCCTAGTAAGTTTAGCCTACACATAAGTCCTCAGGGAAGACTCTCATACCATCCTGTCCCATACTGTGCATGCCACCAAAAGGTGCCTGAGGCCTGACTACAAATGGAACAATTCTCCTAGAGTCACTGGCTACCTTCCAGGGCACAAGGCTTCCAAAGAATACAACAATAATGGAATTTTCCATGAAAAGTAGAAAGTCTCCAAACTAATAGAAATTCTTAGGCAAGCTACCAAGTGTCTTATACCTGTTCTTGGAGGTGCAGTTGACAGACAGTGGCACATGTCTACTTTCTACAGGACTCTGGGGATGTTTGTCATGTCATTGAAGTGCGTGACATCTCCCCTCCATGAAGAATCCACGTTATGCGGCCAACAGGAAGAGTAAATAACCAAGCAGACCCTTTTAGGGATGAATTATTATTGTCTTTCTCCACAGTGTGAGGGCTCCACAAAGAGATAAGATTTGAAGAGCATAAGGGCCTCAACAGATAGTATTCTTGCCAGGACCTTGATCTTGAACATCTGATTTCAAGAACCATGAGAAAGAAAGACATGTTCATTGAGGCTACGAAAACAAGAATTAGTTCTGAAGACTGGGAGAGCTGCTGTGAGAAATACCTAAAAATGTGGAAATGTCTTTGGAACTGGGTAACGAGAAGATGTTGGAAGAGCTTAGAGTACATTGTAGAAGACAAGATTTAGGAGAGTGAAGCAAGTTTTCAAACCAGTCCTACTGAGATCTCATAAAGAAGAAAGAACTGTGAAAGCCTTCATCTTCTCAGAGAACATCAAAGTAACTGTGAGCAGAATGTTGGTGGAAATACAGACTTAATCAGAATGGTGGAAAATGCTTGCAATTCTTCCTGCCTCTGCACTTGGGAACCAAAACCAGTTACAAGTTTAATGTCTGCAAAGGCCAAAGAATGAGATTCATCTAAAATGAACAAAGAAAGAAAATAGCAAGTAAGCAACCAAGCAAGGGACAGATGACAAAGGTCACTCTGGTGAGGTCTCGAATGGAAATGAGAAATGTGTTTTAGAAACTGGAGGAAAGGCATGGTCCCTGTGAAGTGGGAATGAATATGGCTGGGGGTCATGCTTGTGGTCTCATGTTTTATGGAAGGCAGGACTTGAGAAGAATGAGTTGGTGAGTGATGAAATTTCTAAGCAGTGTTGAAAAAAAAATGGCTTGGTTCCTCTGTGCTGTTTATAGCAAACGCCAGAAGAAAGAAGTGACTCCAGGACAAACTTATTAGGCAAAGCGGAAACCAGACACTTAATATTTGGAAATCTTGGGCTCCTCATGTGGAGAAAAGAGAGAGAAAGAGAAAATACAGCTGGGAAAGAACATGTAGAGGGCCAACTGACCCTTTGATAAGGTTAATGTGAACTATGGACCTAATCAGCTACCCCAGCAGGAAAACTGCCAGCTTGGACAAGAATATAAAGGAATGAAGCAAAGTTATCTGATGTCTAGCATTTTATAGGACAAGTTCATGGATCTATTGGCCTTGAAAGTGTTCTATTCTTCAAAACAAGGAAAAAAAAAATGATCTCAAAGGAAATTCAGAGATCATCAGGGCTGCCTCCTTGGTTTTAAAAAGGGAAGCAACTGATTCATTTTCAGTGTGCTAATGACCTTTTCTCGATGCCATGGAACACCAGGCAAGCAGGTCTGGAAGCATAACATCAAGATGTAAAGGATTATTTTCCAGGCTTAAGTACTCAGGAGCCTCATCTTGGCAAGTATGGGAGCTCTCAGGCTCCATCCATCACTCCTGTCTTCTCTCCACCTTCTCTTCTAAGTGAGGATATATATCCTACCGCCCATCCCATCACTGTAGTTTGAAAGCCCTCCACTTGTCTGGTTTGACACATTGACTTATGAAGAAGAATTTTGCGTCCAGTCAAATCAGACTTTGAGACTCATGCATATCTGATTTAGATAATATTTAAATAAAACTCTGGATTTTATACTTTAGAGACTAAAATGAACTAAGATTTTAGGAGCTCTTGGAATGCAGTGGATACTTTTGTGCAAAAGGAATATGATTGGGCGGTGGGGTACAGGACTGGAATGACGTGGACTGGATAGGTTGTCCAAATTTTTGTTTTAAACACCAACTCTGCTGTGATAGTATTAGCAGGTGAGGTTTGGGGAAGCGATTAGGTCATGAAGGAGCCCCTGGTGAAAGGAATTAGTGCCACTACATCCAGGAGAGCTCTCTGCCCTTCTGTCACTTGAGGATACGGAGGGAAGTAAATCTAAAAACCATGAATTGACTATCACTAGAGAATGAATCAGCCTGTATCTTGACCTTGGTCTTACAGTGCCCAGAACTGTAAGAAATACATATTTCTTAAGCCAATCTATAGCAATTTGTTGTAGCAGTCAGAACGAAGAGACCACCTCAGCGAGTTTTTAATGACAACATGAGTGTCAAGGACTGGACCATTCAAAAGGATTGTGAGTACTGACAGAGCACTAGGCTAGTGGGGGGGGGGGGAGAGGGATGTGAGTCATTACTTTGGAGCTGAGGAGGAGCCAGTGCTTGGGAGTCACATTCTAAACCAGGCATAAGGCAGAGCTGACTCTGAGCAAGAGAATCTGTCTATACTGCTTCCACCTTCATGCTCAGCTTTCGTCCATCCCTATAACCATTTCCACAACCACCCAGTTTGTTCTTTATTGCTGTATCATCCTTCTTCTTACAATTTATGCCTTGTTCTCCATTATCCAGAATGATCATTTACGTAGATTCTATTATGTCATTCCTCCACTCAAAGCTCCCCGGCTATGTGTGTCCTTTCTAGTGGCTTTATATTAAGATCTAAACTCTTCTCCTTGGACTCTAAGGATATTTATGATCTGACCTCTGATTCAAACCAAAGCCTCCTCTTCCACTACCTTCTATTAACCCTCATTAGAGCCTCTGAGATTATTCCTGACCTGGGCTTCAGACTCGATTACAAGAGCTGCCCCTCCACATTTCCCATAGTGAGCTGCTTCCCATGTTCTGAGAACCCCCTCTTTGTAGAGCTCTTTCCCAAAGCTCCCAGATCATGCTCTCCCCTTGGTAAGTCTCTCCCGTCTGTCTGCAACGCATCTCCCTCCTTGCTAGCACATGTGTGGGTGCACCCTCAGAGAGGCTGTGCTAGGTAGGAACTTGACTCTCGGGGACTCGGGACACCTGCTATACTCCTATGCCCAGGCTTCTACAGACTCCTCCGTACCCAACCCCAAACATGGGACCCACCCAACCCTGGGATCCATTCTTGTACTAAGTTACGAACTGACTCAATCTTCATGGCAAGAAATGGGTATTTTTGTTCGTTTGTCCCTTTCAGAAAATATACAAATGCCTAAAGGGGTCTGTGGTATCTTGATTCAGACACTACCTAGGAGTGTTTTGGGTGCTTCTCCATTTTCTTGTGCAAGAAGTTTTGGACAAAGGGTCTTCTACGTTTCTGTAAGGGTCTACAAACCATCCTCACAGCACAGTTATGAGAGATCAGCTCACTACATTGATAAGTTGTAACCCCACAGTTTGAGATGATCCTTGAGCTCACAGTCCCAGAACTCGCAGCTTCCAACATATGACCTGTGAAAAGCAGATACCAACTCCTAGTTCTTATGATTTGGGAGTGGAAAAATAATGAATATTATTGCTATAAAAATGTCCCAGCTTATAATGGATAATGACCATCACCTTGGCCATTCCACATAGAGAAAAGTGCAAAAACATCAAAGTCACAACCACCCCAGGAACCAGAGTCTCATTTCATTCTTTTTTTGTTTATTTATTTATCTGCCTAGGACATTCCATGATAACTAAAGTTATGACATTTGTAATGAAAGGATGGTATCAGGCTGGAATTCCTGCTGTCAGGATAAATAGAAAATCCTTTGCTATTTGATTGTCTAGGATGAAATTAATAGCTCCCCATAAATGTCGAATAAAATGATCTGTTTGTTCTAGGAGCGGCTGGAACAATCTTTTGTTTGCTTTCTCCACACTTGTGCTTACTCTTCTTCTCAGAGAAAGATGACTAATTGGCTTAGCAAGGTCATGAGGTCACTACCCTTCCCTTCCGCGCTGCAAGAGCCCCACAGCCCCAGGAGGTGTGCATGCCATGATGGACCTGTTCTGGGGAACAAGTTGCTGTGTGCTGGGTACTGTACTGACTCCTCATGTTTTCTTACAGTTGGTGGCCTGGGGATCCTCCAAGTACTGGTGGAGTCCTGAAGACAGGGCCCTGGAAGGGCTTTCCATTCGTGTGGAGGCACTGCTTACCACCTTCATCTTCCTAACAGCCAGAAGCCCTGGAATACAAACAATTGTGCTGACCTGGGCCAGTTTCCAGAAGAAACAGAAGTACCACAAGGCTCCCACAGATGGAGGAGTTGAGGTCCTCTTCACATCACCCCTTTACTCCTATCCCTCTCCATTCCTTTTCTGCTCTCAATAGTCATATTAGTGCACTCTATCAAAGAGAAGAGTTGTTTCCTGCTGACAACACATGTATTTTTAAATTATAACAAATGTTATCTTCTTCAGTATACCCCAAATATTATCATTACTAGAGGTAAACTGGTGAGATAGTTCACATTCTTGTGTTTTGTGCTACGTCTTCAACATCCAGTGTGTTTCAATGCCTTAATACTTGCTGACGGAACTTGACAAGCTTAATAGCCACCCACATATGGCTATTGGCCACCAGACTGGCCAGCATACTTCAAATAACAAACACACACACACAAAGCCAAAATGTTTCGAAATAAAAACTGGCAGCTGGAGAGATGGCTCAGTGGTTAAGAGTACTGTCTGCTTTTCCAGAGGTCCTGACTTCCATTCCCAGCAACCACATGGTGACTCCCAACCATTTATACAGGGATCTGGTGCCCTCTTCTGGCATGCAGGTGTACATGCATGGTGTACATGCATGCTAGATAGAGAACTCGTATATAAAATAAATAAATAAATATATCTCTTAAAACTCTTTAAAAGAAATAAAAACTGTGCATGATTAATAAGAGAGGAAAAAAATCACAGACCACTGCTTATGAACATAGATACAAACAGCTTAAGCAAAAATGTTTTCCAACTGAGGTCACTCTGCATATAAGAACATAAAAAATGGGCTAGTGAAGTGGATCAGTGGTTAAGAGCACTGGTTGCTGTTCCAGGAGATCAAATTTTGATTCCCAGCACCGACACATCAGCCCACAACCATCTGTAAAGCTAATCCTAGAGCAGTGGTTCTCAAATTGTGGGTCATGACCCCTTTGGGGGTCAGATAACCCTTTCACATTGATTGCATATTAGATATCCTGCATATCAGATATTTACCTTAAGACATATAATGGGGGGAGGGGACCTGGAAAGATGGCTCAGTCATTAAGAGCACTGTCTGCTCTTCCATAAGTCCTGAGTTTAATTCCCCAGCAACTACATGGTGACTTACAACCATCGATACTGAGATCTGCTGCCCTCTTCTGGCATGCAGGTGTACATGCAGATAGAACACTCATACATATAAAATAATTAAAATCTTTTTAAAATATTCTTAGCAGTAGCAAAATTACAATTATGAGGTAGCAACTGAATAATTTTATGATTGGGTGTTACTACAACACAAGGAACTATATTAAAAGGTCACAGCATTAGGAAGGCTGAGAACCACTAGTCTAGAAGATCTGATGCCCTCTTCTGGCCTCTTCGAGCATTGCTTATGTGTGTTGCACAGACATACATGCAGCAAAACAGTACAGCTAGCTAAGATTTTGAAAGTCAACTAACAGATAATCAAAGGGGCAACTTGTGTGTGTGTGTGTGTGTGTGTGTGTGTAATTTTTTTGTTTTTATTGGTTTTTTAAGACAGTGTTTCTATTGTAACCCTGGTTGTTCTGGAACTTGATTTGTAGACCACGCTGGCCTTCAATTCACAGAGATTCACCTGCCTCTGCCTCCCAAGTGCTGGGATTTAAAGGCATGTGACACCAATGCCTGCCTGGCATCTTATATTCCTAAATCAAATGGCTGGTAGTATAGTTTGGTGGCAGAGCACATACATTAGGCACTGGAATAATCTTTATCACCAAATAAATAAATAATGCTCTAAGTCATTAACAGAAAAGCGACCATAACTGTTGTTATTTGGTATATGAGAAAACCATTCCTGAGAAACAATAAGGCTGCTTCCATACGACTATTAGTGAGAATATTCACAGCTAACAAATGTGACTGGAATACATTAAAGAAGTGACACATCCATCCAGGAGTCTCGACTGTGAGACAGCAAGAGTAGGTCACGTAGGGAAATTTATTCACTCACCTGAGCTTCTGTGCACCTGACCTCTGTGGGCTCCCCGAGGCTGACATGGTGCTCCTCTGCCAGGAGGGTAAACCCAAGAGAAAATTTAGAAATAGGAACTATGGAAGACAAGGTCACCAAGAAACTCCCTGGAGTCAGCTGCACCTGACTCCATGGGGATGGGAAGCCTCCTCTGCTTGTTGTAACATTAGAGTGTGCTGTCTCACTTCTAAGGTGTCCCTGCGTCTAAGAGCCTTGAGGACTCAGGACAATTCTATGGAAAGCTTTGAGCCACCAGCAGCCCTACTTACAAAAGCTGGAGTATAGAGTAGCATTCTGAAAGGGGTTTGGGGGTGTCGGACACAGAAACTCCTGTGTTCAAGGAGAAGAAATGCCTGACTGTATTTCACATTAATAACTCATTTACTAAAGATACAAAAATTTAAGGCCTCATTTTCTCTCTGTAAATGTTAAATTTGACTTGGAAATTATTATTCCATTTGTAAATTTTGGAAAATATATGTAAATCTAAGTAGACTTTCATTTTCTCTTTGCTCAGTACTTGGGCAATTTCATATAAACTGCTTTAAGTAAGTTTGGTGCTTTCAGTGATTTCCATGAAGCAAGCTACCCCCAAAGTTAGCCCCTCCTTATCCACAGGGGACAGAATCCAAGACCCTCAGTTGATGCCAAAGACTAGGGACAGTTCCAAACTCTAGATCTACTATCTTTCGCTATGTAGACACATGTTTGTTGAAGTTTAATTTATAATTTAAGCAGAGAAAGAGATTGACAGCAATAAGTAATAACAGAGAACACTTGTAACCGTATATACTAATATGAGAGTTTCCCTCATATCTAGATAGGACCAACATCATCACAAGAGTCCCTAACAGTGTCTGAGATGACAGAGGAATTTCGAGCAATGGATCTGCCACTGGCTTTGAAGAGATGAGGGGGCCCAGATTTGGAAGAGGAAGCAGACTTCTGTTTCTCCTAGAATTTGCAGAGCAGAACAGCCCTGTTGACACCTGGACTTAGCACAGTGCTACAGTGTCAGGCTCCTAAATGATGCCTGTTAGTCAGTTTACATCAGTTAGATGATAACGTGTTAAGCCACTATCTTTGTGGTCATTTGTAACCACAGAGCTGAAAAACTAATATGGTCTTTAACGGAACTTTTAAATCCCATAGATCAAACTTAGAACTGTAGAAAACCTGTGCTGTCTAAAGTACTGCAGTGCTGATTTATAAGCCTCATAAACACTCCATGTGGCTTGCTTGCCAACTTGATGTCATGAGTCTAAAACCAATTTTGCATTTGAAACTTAATCCACAGCATAATGTGTTGAGTGTGTCACGTTGTGCTCCCCTGTACAAAACTACAAAGTGTGTACATGGATCATTTTGACAGAAATGAAATGCTGTATAGAACCACTCCCCTGTGAGCCCTGGCCTGGCTGTGTGAGATGCCCATGTTCAGACTCTCAGGTGCGCGTGACCCTGTTACCCACTTTCCACTCATTCACAGCCTGAGCACCCTGGGTCCCCATCTATATCACAGTGTTTACAGATCAAGATTCCTGCTTTAGTCTCCCATCCCCTTCCTGCCTGGCAACCAAGAAGGGACTGACAGTTTCTCACAAGATAGTCAGTCATCTGTGGCATAATCAATTGCTTGAGTTACTACGGTTTGCCTATTTGTTTGTTTTATTTGTTTGAGACAAGGTATCTTTTTATAACTCAGGCTAGTCTCAAACTCACAACATTTCTGACTCAGCACCTAAATGCTTAGAATACAGAAATGTGCTACCATGCAGCCACTAAAACAATTCTTTAGTCGCTAAGTCATTTTTTTTCAAGTTCAGCTGTTTAACAAAACAAAAACAAACAAACAAACAAAAACTGAAATCCTGACAGCCTACAACTCCTTAAGTGGGAATAGAGTTTTGTTGAGGCTCTACCTTTCCCTGGGCCTTGGGAAGGTGAAATGCCTTGCTCTGAACTTGGCTAAGTTCACCCCCCAAAAAGAGACAGCAGCAAGACTTGGCGTAGGGCTTCATGGGAAGGCCACACATCCTTTCAGTGAGACTTCTGGGACAGCGCATGCAGCTGTGTTATTTTAAATCAGTTTAGAGGCCACCAGACTCTGTCTTCCTCCCTGCTCCAGGACAGGCATTCCCACCAGCAGCCCAGAAACCCAATTTACTTCACTCAGAGACAGCAGCTCCTTCTGCCTAAGGCTCTGTGCTGAGGTGTGCTGGGGGGCAAGGTGACCAACTGTGACCCTAGCCTGAAGTTGCTTCTGTGGGGCATGTAGCAAGCAAGCTGAAAAGCCACATTGTCGCAGGCCTCACTTCCTGACTATCCACATGCTTCAGTTTCCTCGTTCTAAAATGGTAATGGTCATAGATAAACCAGGCATAGCACTTGTGGGGTTTGTACAGAATGGATGGGGTACTGCTCACAAGTCCTCGGGCCAGCTTCCGGTACCTAGCAAGCAAACAGCTGCAATAAGATTTGCTGCTGTTATTCAAAATAGATATGCATGACTTTAAAGAGTGAAGAAAGGGAAGAGGAGAAGCCAGTTAAAACATTAGAAGTAGATACATAAACAATGTACACAAATAAGACTATGGTGAGGAACTGAATAATTAGGCACATACCTAACTGTTCAAAGCTGGCAAGGTAGAAGACAGGTCTCTTCCTGGCACTAGGGATGAGCCATCCAACTTACAGTCCAAAGTCCCGCTTCTAGGAGTCTGGAATGTGAACCTGGCATTTGGGATCAAGGCCACATGCTGGTCACCATGGCTACACACAAACCTGGCCATCCAACTTATCCTCCAATTCCTTTCCTACAGCAGCTTCTCTTCTCTTCAGGGTAAGGACTGGCCCGAAGCAGTTTTACATACTGGAAAT